ATCTTTGAGGAATTTGATTTACTAAATGGCTTAAACGTGTTGATATCGTTTGTGCATAACTTGTGAAGCGTTGAAAGTGTAATTTAAACATTAGCTTGTAAAATATACATTTATATTTTATCACAGGCTGTGTCATTTCTTTAGGAGAGGTCTTTACTTTGAAAGATTTTACCGGATGATGTAGTTAGTGAGTGAGCGGCTAGCTTGATAACGGTGGATGCTGTAGCCCGCTTGGCTGTCGGAGCCGCTCTCCTCCTGTACACAGGAGAACGGATAACTACTGTACTGCATAGGTAAACTAACCCTGAATCATATTTAGAGAAGCATTAGCCTTTAAAAGGCCTCGGTTCACTGGTGTGTTTGTTTTACATACAACCTTTAGCCGCTCGGAAACGACTGGATGCTGTTGCAGTGGAAATCTGTTGACGATGATTTTTCACTCATGAGCGGCTGTCACGTAACTCTGTAGACTGTTGTGATAAGATAAGAGAAAAGGAACAGGCTGTTTTAAAATTAATTCCTGCCACCTTTGTTTGATTGCCGTGCGGAAGTAAAGCCAGAAGGCATGGTGCTGTGATACTCCCGGGGCAGCGGACACACGGACTGGTAAGCAACCTGTTCATCTCCGCAGGATTATCCGTCCAAACGGACGCTAGCTGCCGAGCGTGCTAGCCGCGACTCTGTCGCTCCCTGGCTAACTGCTGCTCTATAGCTCGACAGATTTCAGTGTGCAGTGATTGTTCACAAGTCATTTCATACTATATTATTATAGGCAGTTAATTGTGTTGCCATTACAAATCAGTGCTACATCTCCAATATAAGCCAGCATTTAGGCGAGGCTCATCGGGAAAACGGCCAAATATTGAATGCTAATGGTTTAAATGTAAATGTTAACATTGACCAAATGGACAGAAGTGTCTTTATTATAGTGTGTGGTAGTAGAAATCTGTGTGGAATATTATTGGATTATATTTGTGATTATAGAGCAGCAGAAGACAATAATGATCTAACACGGGCCTGTGTCATACAGCCTGGCCTGGAGCGTCTACAACTAATAATATCCTGAGAATAAAGTCTTTGTGACAGGCTGCGCATATGTGCTTTACCATGTTGCACTTCAAAGTTTGCTGATTGTCACAGGCAGCACACAGCATGGTGATGATTAGTGGGCAGGGATGATGGGAACAACAGGCATCCTTTAAATTATTGGAAACCTTCATGGTGCATTAGATGGTTTGTGTGGAAAAGGCCTCCAATCTTCATCTAATTCAGCCTTAAATTGTCCCACTTGTTAATGGAGTTGGGAAGCCCAAATCCACACAGGGTTCGTGAGAAGACATGACTCATACAGCAGAAATAAAACAGCATCCAGTGTGATATTTCTTTAGTGCCAGCTTGTGTCCCATGACCATAATTCCCGTCTCACGGGCTCGTCTGTCTCTGCGGGTTCCAGTTAGCCTGGTTGCTTGGCTGTACGGTGCGTCTGATTCCCCAGCCATCTGATGCTGCAACAGTTTTTATTGCCGTGCTGTGAAACACTTTGAACCAGCAAGTTTCTTTCAAATGTGGAAAATACGGTAATGCTTTGTTTCCTGGTCTCTGACATGATGTGTTGGACTACAATGGGCATAATAGGCAATCTCTTCATTTTTAAACATTTGTTATTTTAGAACCTAAATCATAAAGCAAATGAACGGTTGCAAACTATTAACATTATTTATAATTGTATAATATTATTGGTTTAATTTAAACATTAAAAATGCTAAGTCTTTTTCATCTATAGTCATCTATATGTACCAGTCTGGAAAGGCCTACAAAGCCATTTCTGCGCTTTGGGGTTCCAGCGAACCGCAGTGAGAGCCATTATCCACAAACAAAGAAAACCTGGAACAGTGCTGAATCTTCCAAGGAATGGCTGGCCCATCAGGCACGATCTGATATCGTCGTGTTGGTGTTGTTCCCAGATCATCATACTAAATGTTGTTCCAGGATCAACATTGCAAGTGACCAATCAGAACGTTGTGACGTCATACTTTTGCGACTTCGGGAAAAACCGCCGTAAAACAAAAAACTACTTAAGCTGCGAGAAACCGCCTCTGTCCGCCGATCAACGGACCCTGACCCTGACCCTTTAATAAACGCTAAGCAGAATTGATATTGTCCTTGCAACACTGGCATTTCATAAATGCACGAATGGCTTGGCGCGCAAAAGAATAACATCACAATAATGTGATTGGTCACTTGCAATGTTGAACCTGGAACAACATTTTCATGATGATCTGGGAACAACACCAACACGATATCAGGTCATCCGGCCCATCAGAGTTACACTAATAGCATATCAACGACTCAACACAAAAGAACAACATGTAAAATACTGCTTCCTCACTTACACTAGTTGAGGTTCATGACTCATCAATAAGACAGAGACTGAGCAAACGTTGCATCTGTGGGAGATCTACAGGCATTGATCTCACATTTCCCTCATTCCCGAGACATTTGGGAAAATGTTCTGTGGACTGATGAGACAAACTTTTTACAGGGCTTGCATTAGTGAAGCTAACACAGCATCATGGTAGCAACAGTCAAACATGGTGGTGCTAGTGTGACGGTCAGGGGCCTCTTTGCTACTTCAGGACCTGGCTGACTTCTGACCACGACCAGAACATCCTGAGGGAGAATGTCCATCCATCAGTGTCACGAAGCCCAAACACACCTGGGCTGTGCAGCAACAGCAAGGCCACCTCTGATGGGACTTGAATTCGATTGCAATGCTTTGGCATGACCTTAAACAGGGTGTTCATGCTGGTTTGAGGCACAGTTCCCC